AGAGATCCATCCATGTCTTTGGGAAAACTGACTTAACTTCATTCCTACTCCCTTTTTTAGGTGTGAAACATGAATCAGGCTGAGCCAGTCAGGTTATCATTACCTTCTGCTAACAGTGATAGGTTCAGGGATAAGCATTTGATCTGAGGCAGTCTAATCAAGAGTGAATATCTAGACTTTTATTGGTAATGCTAGGGAGAAGATTCTCAAAATTATCAAGGAAGGATTTAGCTCACCTGGACTTTCAAGAGGAATCAAGCTTAAGGGAAAGCTGACATCAAGTAAGCAAACCAAGATATGAAAGAAATCCAATCTTGATGATATCATTGAGCCACTGGTTCCAGAATGGAGCCAGTGAATCCCACTTAATCTCCCAACTTTTTAGTTATATGATCCAATAAACTTCCTTTCAGCAAGGGTTTCAATTGTGTTATCTATTGATTATAGGCAAAAGAATCCTGATACATAACATTTGGGTTAAGACTGGCATCAACATATCACACTAATACTCTGGCTGATATCCAGCAGCCAATTTTTGTCTTAGTTCCCAGTTATCAGTAATCGGAGCTGCCTTCGTCCTCTAAGCCGGTACCTTGCTCATAGCAGATGCTCAGAGTATTTGATAAACCAAATAGCAAGGCAGGATCTAGAACAGGCATCTGAGAAGGATTTATTATCCAAATTCAAACGATACTGCCTTCTAAACTCAGTAAAACCAACTTCAGGACAGCATTTCTCAAACAGTTTTGGCTGCATTCCACAATAAGCAATGTATTTTATATCATGATCTGGTACACACAAAATCTATATAACTGAAAAATAAAATTCAAAGAAACAATACTTACCCCCTCCTATATGCAAAGCACTCTATTTTCTGTTCCATTTTTTCAAACAGCTCATCCTCACCCATCAAATTGATTTCACACCACTCACAAGGGTAAGGATCTATATATTGAAAAACACGGTCCTAGAAGTTCTCTTAAATCAAAATGGGGAACTTCTATGACTTGCTAGCAAACAGACCAGCCACGGCAAACAACACAAAAGAAAAGAAAATACCCCGGCCAATGAACCCTCGCACACAGATTAGGTCAAGACCCTCTTAAGTGGTTCCAGCTCTTGCCTCTCACCCTTCCTCATCACACAAGAATTAGACTTGCAGTGTTACTGCCTTGCTCAAGTCTCCATAGTGGTCCTCAGTCTATAAGGCTCAGATGTTAGACTAGAGACCAAAGTCATGCAAGGAACCCATAAATGTATCAGACTGCATATAGAGTGTAAAATATTTCAAACATACCCACAATTACAACTACTTATCAAAGCTACGTGGACGTGTCAGTTAATAAAACTACAAATTCACTTAAAATGTCGTGGAATTTATAGGAATGTTCTATTGTTACGTATTTCTCAATCAAGAGTTACTAAAGTTTTTCTCTCTTTTCCAAAACGTTCCCTTTTTTGAATGCCAAGAAACCACCTGCAAGGAACAAAAACTGTTTTTCATCACCCGGTAAATCAGTTGCTAAATAGCTGCTAATCACCACGGAGTACCAGCAGCAAGTAACCAAACTCTATCATGTAATGGGTCAACAAAATCTTCTGCCCACAGAGAGAATTCCTAACACTAATTAAAGAGAGACAGACAAATAGAAAGAGAGAGGCAGAGAAGAAAAAGAAAAAACTGGGAATTATTAAGAAACAGGATGGATCAAAAAACTTCCTTTGCCTAGCATTTAAAACCCACTATACTGACACCATTTTGACCATGGCCAACCTTATCTTCCACAGCCAACAGAAATCTTCTACTCCTGACAAGCTAATCTCTTTATTGACATACACAAAGCTTCACACTAACCTTCAAGTGTAATGTTACCCCTGCCCAGAATCCCCTTCCCTTCTCTCTACTAATCTAGATCCGACTTCTCCATGAAGGCATGTCTTCGCATCTCCTCCCTCTGTCTTCCTAGAGATTTGTAGTCCAGAGAAGTCATTTGACAGCATCGTAAAAATAATTGTTAAGATTAGCTCAAAATGGGTTAAAGAGTTGAATGTAAGACATGGAACCATAAAACTCCTAGAAGAAAATATAGGCAGTACTCTCTTTGACATTGGTCTTAGCAGTACCTTTTTGAATATCATATCTCCTCAGGCAAGGGAAGCAAAAGAAAAAAAATAAACAAATGGGACTACATCAAACTAAAAAACTTCTACACAGCAAAGGAAACTATGAAGAAAATGAAGACAACTCACCAACTGGGAGATAATATTTGCAAATCACATATCTGATAAGTGGTTAATATCCAAAATATTTAAAGAACTCATACAACTCAACAACAAAAAAACAAACAACCCAATCAAAAATGGGCAGAGGGGGCCCGCCCCGTGGCCAAGTGGTTGAGTTCATGCACTCCACTTTGGCAGTCCAGGATTTCACTGGTTCAGACCCTGGGTGCAGACTTAGCACGGCTCATCAAGCCATGCTGAGGCAGCATCCCACATAGCACAACTAGAAGGACCCACAACTAGAATACACAACTAGAATATGTACTAGGGGGCATTGGGGAGAAGAAGACAAAAAAGACCGGCAACAGATGTTAGCTCAGGGCCAATCCTTTAAAAAAAAAAAAAGGGTAGAGGATACAAACAGGCATTTTTCCAAAGAAGATATACAGATGGCCAATAGGCACATGAAAGGATGTTCAACATCACAAATCACTAGAGAAATGCAAGTCAAAACTACAATGAGATACCACCTCACATTCATCAGAACGGCTATTATTAAAAAGACAAGAAATAAGCATTGGAGAGGATGTGGAGAAAAAGGAATCCTCATACACTGCTGGTGGGAATGCAAATTGGCACAGCCACCATGGAAACTAGTACGCAGATTTCTCAAAAAATTAAAAATCGAAATACCATATGATCCAGCCACTCCACTCCTGAATATTTATCCAAAGAACATGAGAACATTAATTCAAAAAGATATATGCACTCCTATGTTCACCCCAGCATTATTCACAATAGCCACGACTTGGAAGCAACCTAAGTGCCCATCAACAGATGAATGGATAAAGAAGATGTGGTATATGTACATACTATGGAATACTACTCAGCCATAAAAACACACAAAATTGTGCAACTGGCGATAACATGGATGGACCTTGAGGGTATTATGCTAGGCAAAATAAGCCATATGAAGAAAGACATTACCGTATGACTTCACTCATATGTAGAAAATAAACAAACACATAGATACAGAAAACAGATTGGTGGTTACCATAGAGAAAGGGGGTGGGGAGAGGGTGAAAGGGATAAACAAGCATGTATGTATGGTGACAGATGGCAACTAGACTTTTGATGGTGAACATGATGCAGTCCATACAGAAGTCAAAATACACTTGAAGTCAAGTGCACTTGAAATTTACATAATGTTACAAACCAATGTGACCTCAATACAATAAATAAAAAATAATAATTGTGTTGAATGTGTTGTTCTAATAACAAAATAAACAATTGTAAAAGCACTTTGGAAGTTTCAAGGTTTTATTTTCTGAACAGCTTTAGGTAAAAAAAAAAAAAAAAGGTAATAAAACAACTGACTGCCATTGCAAACCAAATGACAATCTTTAGGAGTGCCCTATTAGGAAAACACTTTTTCAGGAAACCCTTGGATTACTGTCGCTCTCAGTAGCAGCATCTTCAAAACGATGTTCCTATAGAGTGGATTTATACTTTGATAACAACTCATTTCTGGGTTTTTGAAGTTATTTGGCTCTACTGTCTACAAGGTGGAAAAATACCCAAATATATTAAGCTTACAGAGCCAAATTAGACTGCAGACATTTTAAATTATTTGAAAATAAAATACCAAGCTCTGCTGGACATTCTTTTTAAAATTTAATATACCTTAAATTTGATTCAAAAAATATTTCTGCTGAATGTTAAACATTTTATCTCCATACATATATTTTTTAAGTGTACAATACTTTATTGTTGACTATAGTTACAATGTTGCTAGCCCCTCTTAAAAGACCCTCTTCCTACCCATCACTGGTGGTGGAACACATCAGTGTAAGCTGTAGACAACTTAATGGCTATTTGCTAGGATTTCTTCAAGTTTTATGGGCTTTAAAAGCATTTAAAGAGCTTATTCATTTTAACTACTAAGAAGCAATGAAAAACTCCATGCCAAGATGGAATCAAAGTATTTAGTTTCTAAGTATGCTTTTTTCCTTAAAATAGCTAAAGCCCTGAAAAGTGTCAGGATGGTGTAATGGGAAAAAAAAGCTTGAGAATAAGAGATCTTAACTATAACAGTAATTGCTGACGATTATTTATCCCTCATTTCATATAAACCAAGCATAACACTAAATCCTTTACATGAATTATTTTGTTTAATCCACGCACCAATCTAAGTAGATACTATTATTATTATCATCATCCCCACGGTACAGTTTAGACACTTAGCTTTTGAAAGATAACAAATCCAAAGTCATAAGTAAGTGGTAGAGCAGGGACTCAAACCCAAGTGTTCCTGGCACCTAGAAGTGGTACCCGGACGTAGTTAAGCGCTTGCTCTCAACTACTACTTTACTAATCTGGCTTTGTGACTCTGCAAGTTATATATCCACTCTGGGCTTCAGTTTCCTCATCTGTAAAAATAAAGCAAGGAATGCTAAAGTTCCCTCCAGCTCTCCCTAGCCTCAGTATTATCAACCTTACCATCTCCCTAGGCGTCAACAAGCCAGTGTTATTCCTTCTTTCGACTGAATTCAACTAAAAAAGAATTTACGACGCACCTGCTAAGTGTCCGGCCTTGTGATGGGCAGCGGCCCAAATGCAGGTCTCCCACTCGCTCTGCTCCCGCCCTTGGGTGCCAGCAGGCCCCCGTTCCCCTGGCAAGTCCCTGGGATGGGCTAGGGTCCTTTCCCGTCCGGAGTCCCTTCCGGCACACTCCCGCCTCAGGGCCAACCCCAGCTCTGGTTCCCGGGTCTACTCACCCTTCAGGTGGTCTCCCCTGCCCGGTGCCGTGGGACCCCGAGTCCCGGCTGCCTTCTCCCCCGCAGGGGTCGTATGGAGTGCCCCCGTCTGCGATCGTTCGGCAACTCTGCCTTTCGCCATGGCTGCAGCAGGGAAGGTGGAGGGAGCGGGGTGATGCCGCAACCCCTTGACAACAACAACTCGGCCGCAGGGTCCTTAAAACACCCACTGGCCACAGCCAGAGCTACTTCCGGGGCGACTGCCTCGCCTAAGACGACCTCAGCCCCGCAAGCACAGCGACGCTAGGCTGAAACCTAGATCGCCCACTCGGACTACGCTCCGCCCTGCCCCGCCCCGCCCCGCCCCCGAGCCTCGCGCGCTCGCGCCCGCCCAGTAACCGCGAGACAAGTCAGGGCCCCGGCACGCCCCATTCGTGGCCCCGCCCCTCCGCGCGACAGCGGGAAGCATGCGCAGTCGCGGCACCGGAGTCACGCGGCGTGGCTCGAAGACGCAGACATCTAATACGCAGCTTTAATTATCCGGAAGTGCCGTCCCAGCGACTTCAAACCCTTTGTGTGTGCTGCCGGAAGTTCCCGTAAATGATTAGTTGGCGTTTCGGAGCAAATGCTGAATCAGCCCGGCTCTTCTGTCCACCAGTTCCACAGGCTGCTGTCTCCAGTCTGGAGGGGTTAGATAATACTTGGACTGAAGATGTTGGAAAACATAAAGCCTGAGCCGAACCTACCGAGTTTCAGGAAACTAAGGCTCAGGGAGGAGCTATAACCTGTGAAGGTCACAGGGTGGTAGAAATAGGTTTAGAATTGGGATTTTCTTGTTCCCAAGCGAATGCTTTCGCTTAGCAAAACCGTGCGCCTCTCGCTAGTAAACCCAGCTCGGCTCATGTAGCTTTTCCTCTTGCTAAACCCAAGTGCCTTGTTGAGCAGCGATTTCTTCCCCTCCTACCTCTCAGCTGTATTTGGCTTACTCATTGGTGAGTGTACTGGAATGCCCTCTTGAAAGCAACTTGGCGGTGTGTATAAGAATACTGATTGTTCCTATCATGCGGGCTTAACGACAGGAATAAAATCTGAGAAATGTGTCGTTAGGAGATTTCGTCGTTGTGGAACATCATGGAGTGTACTTACACAAACCTAGATGGTAGAGGCTACTACATCCCTAGGCTATGTGGTACAGCCTATTGCTCCTTGTCCCACTGGAAGGTCTTCGGGGCAATACCAGGCATGGAGCTGCCATCTCCTGTGATAACAATGCCTTCTGGAATACCTCCTGAAGGACCTGCCTAAGGCTCTTCTTGAGGAAGTGCCACTCTTTTCAGACGTATGTCGGTGGTGGTTTGTTTCTTTTTTTCATCATAGATTTGCTTGTAAGCAGTTAGTGCGCCATGAACATTCCTCTCTGTTAATGAAAACCTTTTGGTGTTGGGTGTCCATGTTTTCAAACTTTTTAAGGAGATTGTTGAGATGTGCAAAAGCTTCTGCTAAACCCTTCGCTGTATATTTTTCTTGAGGGGGGGTGTTCTTTTTTTCTTCTGCAGTTTCCTTTTCTCTTGCCTCTTCAGCTATGTGTTCCTGTTCCAGTTCCAACAACTCCTCATTAATCAGTTCCTCAGGAACCACCTCTAGGAGCTCCTCAGTGTCATCCTCGTCCACACCCAAGTTAAGTTGTTTGCCATCTCAACCACAGCCTTGTTGAGTTTTGCAACCTCATCTTTGGCAAATCCTTTGGAGTCATGGACGAATCTCTTGAGTATCTTCTGCAGATGCCATTCATTTACTTCTTGGTGATTCACCCCATGCCCAAGCAAAGTTCTTGATGCAGTCATAGATGTTGTAATCCTTCAAGAATTTTATCGGTGTCTTCTTACTTTCTTCCTCAGTTGCGGCAGTAGCCTGGGCAAAGGTCCTCCTCAGATAGCAGGCCTTAAAAGCTGCTATAACTTTTTTTTTTTTTTGGAGGAAGATTAGCCCTGAGCTAATGTCTGCTGCAAATCTTCCTCTTTTTGCTGAGGAAGACTGGCCCTGAGCTAAGATCCATGCCCATCTTCCTCTACTTTATATGTGGGATGCCTACCACAGCAGGGCTTGACACACAGTGCATAGGTCCACACCTGGGATCTGAACCAGCGAACCCCAGGCCACCAAAGCAGAATGTGCAAACTTAACCGCTGCACCACTGGGCCGGCCCATAAAAACTGCTATAACTTCTTGAGCCATTGGTTTGATCAAAGAGGTGGTGTTAGGAGGCAGAAACACCACTTTGATGTTGAGATGAAGCTCACCAATAAAAGGAGGTGGTCCAGGAGCACTATCAACAATAAGCAAAATCTTGAAAGGTATGTTATTTTCCAAGAAGTACTTCTCCATTTTGCTGGCATAGCAATTCAGGAGGGCATCTTGGAAGAGGAGCTGGGTCATCCATGACTTCTTATTGTACATGTAGTACACTGGTAGTGTGTGCTTATTGATATGCTTGAAGGCCCTGGGATTCTCACTGTGCCAGATCACAAAGGGTTTCAATTTTCAGGCTGCAACATTGCCTCCAAGCAAGACTCTTATCCTGTCCTTAGAAGCCTTGAAACCTGGCATTGACTTGGCCTCCTTAAGGATAAGGTCTTTCAGGCATCCATTTCCAGAACAGGGAGGTTTCATCCATATTGAATATTTGCTCTGGCAAGTAATTTTCCTCCACAATCAGCTTATCTGGTGTTTCCAAAAATTCTTCAGCTCCCTTCACATCAGCACTCACAGACTCACCACTCACTTTCATGTTATATAGTGAATGACGATTCTTGAATCATTTAAACCACCCAGAGCTAGCAGTAAATTCAACATCGTAGTGGACTTCAACCTTTTCTTTCAACATTGCAAACTTTTTGCTCTGGCCATGACCATCATGGTACTGAGAGGGATATGGTTCTATCTGGTCTTCAACCCAGGTCATTAGAAGTTCCTCCATGGGGGCCGGCCCCGTGGCCAAGTAGTTAAGTTCGTGTGCTCTGCTTCGGCGGTCCAGGGTTTCGTCAGTTCAGATCCTGGGCACAGACATGGCACTGCTCATCAAGCCACGCTGAGGCGGCATCCCACATGGCACAACCTGAAGGACATACAACTAGAATATACAACTATGTACGGGGGTGTTTGGGGAGAAGAAGAAGAAAAAGAAAATTGGCGATAGATGTTAGCCCAGGCACCAATCTTTAAAAAAAAAGAAGTTTCTCCATGTCTGATATAGGCCCTTCTCAAATTTTTGTTAATCTCATTGCCTTAAATGAAGCAGATCCTTTAACAGCTTCTGTCGCTTTGTTCTTGTTCTTTAAGACTGAGGCTGTGGTGGAATGAGACATGCCTGACTGATGAAGAATAACCATCACTGATTTTCCTCCATCACTCCTTCATAGTGCTTAATCACTTTTAATTTCATTTCCAGGTCAATCACTCAACGTGGTCCCTTACTGGCAACATTAGCAGTGGATTTTGTATGCTTAGGGGCTATAATGAACAAAACAACATGAGATTAAATCAAACACAGAGAAAGTGATGCAATCAAGAGACTCAGTGACCATGAGATGTATGAAGCTGCTGCTGGCGTAACACTGTATACTGTTTTTTTGTTTGGTTTTGGTTTTTGATTATTATTATTTTTTAGATTGGCACCTGAGCTAACAACGGTTGCCAATCTTCTTTTTTTTTCTCCTTTTTCTCCCCAAATCCCCCCAGTACATAGTTGTATGTTTAGTTGTGGGTCCTTCTAGTTGTGGCATGTGGGATGCCACCTCGGCATGGCCTAATGAGTGGTGCCATGTCCGCGCCCAGGATCCGAACCAGGGAAACCCTGGGCCTCCAAAGCGGAGCATGCAAACTTAACCATTTGGCCATGGGACTGGCCCCTTTATACTGTTCTATGGTAAACTTTTTTTTTTTAATAAGTAGAAACCGTATACTCTAAAATAATGATAGAAAGTATAGTATAGTAAGTGCATAAGCCAGTAACATAGTCATTTATTATCATTATCAAGTATTATGTACTGTACATAATTCTATGTGCTATACTTTTATACAACTGTCAGCACAGTGGGTTTGTTTACACCAGCATCACTACAAACATGTGAGTAATATGTTGCACTACCACATTATAACTACAACGTCACTAGGCAATAGGAATTTTTCAGCTCCATTTAATCTTATGGGACCACACTTGTATATGTGGTCCGTTGTGGACCTAAACGTTGTGATGTGGCACATGACTGTAATTACATTTCTAGGAAACTATTTCATGGAAATAAACATACAGAGGAAGTTATTCCCAACAGTATTATTTCTTAGTATAATAGTAAATGTGGAAGCAGTCTAAAAACCCAACACCGAATAAAAATGTTTAAGAAAATTATGGAAGATCCATTCAATGGAACTGTTTAAGTACACATCTTCTGCCTACTTATATTAAGACCATCAATGACCCCTCTAAGAGGTAGCTCCCCATTTTATTTCCTTCATGGTCATTATTAAAAACAATAATTATTTTTTTACTGGTTTATTGTCTGCTTCCACCTCTACACCTCTAGAATGTAAGCTCTATTAGATAGAGCCTTGTCTTTTTATTTATTTTGAGGAAGATTAGCCCTGAGCTAACATGTGCCACCAGTCCTCCTCGTTTTGCTTAGGAAGACTGGCCCTGAGCTAACATCTCTGCCCATCTTCCTCTACTTTATATGTGGGATGCCTGCCACAGCATGGCTTGCCAAGCAGTGCCTAGGTCCGCACCCGGGATCTGAACCAGGGAACCCTGGGACTACCAAAGCGGAATGTGCAAACTTAACTGCTGCGCGACCGGGCCAGCTCTGAGCCTTGTCTTTTTTAAAAAAATTATTTTATTGCAGTCATATTGGCTTACAACATTGCGTAAATTTCAGTTGTACATTACTATATTTCACTTTCTGTATAGACTGCATCGTGTTCACTGCCAACAGTCCAGTTTTCATCCATTGCAATACATATGTACCCTTTTTACCCTTGCCCCACCCACTGCCCCTCTGGTAACCACTAATCTATTCTCCTGACCTATGTGTTGTTTATTTTCCACACATGAGTGAAATCATGCAGTATTTGTCTTTCTCTGTCTGACTTATTTTGCTCAGCGTAATGCTCTTGAGGACCATCCATATTGTCACAAATGGCACAATTTTGTCTTTTTCATGGCTGAGTAGTATTCCATGTGTATATATACCACATATTCTTTTGTTGTTGTTGTTGGGTTTTTTGGTGAGGAAGACTGGCCCTAAGCTAACATCTGTACCAATCTTCCTCTATTTTTTGTATGTGGGATGCCAC